TAATTCTCCTGAGAGAACCAAAAACAAAGCAGTATTTATACTGTTCAAAAAGATAATTTGAAGTCAGTCATTCATGACACAGCATCTTCATCGTCGTTATCGTCACAACAGTAATGTTTTATTGTATATTTTAAAACTCCGACTAACGGAATTCAAAAAGTGTTGAAGATGTTCCCCAACGGGGAATTGAACCCCGGCCACGTCGGTGAGAGCGACGGATCCTAGCCACTAGACCATTGAGGAATTTTTTGAAAGTTAAGATTTTGAACCTTTATATTATTATAATTTCACGTGATTTTAACACTGGACCTTATTGGATGTTTTTGGGATTGATCTTTGAATAACTTTACGAATTCTTTATGAAAGATTGTCAAAAAAGTTTTAAACAATACATCAGATAAATATCTACAAGTATAAGTAAAGAAACTTGAAGTTTGTTTGATATCTTTTCTTTTTTCTTAATTTTTTGTTTTTTATATAAAAATTTAATTTACACTAAAAATTCATTTTTTTTTTAGAAAATAATGCAACAACTACATTCAGCATAAAAATTAGAGTATAAAACCATTTTGAACAATTCAGTTATCTATGCTTTTCATGAAGAAAATGCAAAAAGTAAACAATAGTTGTGTTTTGACATGGTACAAGCTGTCTAAATTTAGAAGGTGGAGCATTTTCAGCAAAAAGACTTTGAAAAAAATAAAGAAAAAATAACATTGAATCTCTGCTACATGCTGGTATGCAATGTCAATTAGAGTAATGGAAGGAATGTAAGGATTCATGACTGGTTGGAAGTTATTTCAGTTCTTTAACATAAGCTTTAAAATAATAGAACGTTTCTATTTCATTTAAAGGACTTATTCGTAAAATATAAAGAAAAAGTGAATTCTCTGTAATTTAGTCATTATGTTGGTCATTTAGAAATTAGAAGGCAAGCACCGTCTATACGCGTTATAGTGTAGTTTTTATATTCGTTTGCTGTTCTATCTAAGTGCAAAGTAAGCAGAAAAAGAAAAAGAAAAGATGCTAGTTATAGTTGTGCAATTTGACTTGTTAATTCTCAAAATGTAATGTTGGTAGCTTCAATTCATTTGTAAACATTCAAAAGTCTATATCTTCTAAAATACTTCAAAGTTGCTCTACAATAGTAGCTATTAGCTTTTACTGTTCTTATATCTTAAATATCACAGAAGGCAAAAA